TGATTGGAACAGTCTTTCTTGGTGTTAAAATATTGATTGGAACTATCTGTTTCGGGTGTCAAAATATTGATTGGAACAGTCTTTCTTGGTGTTAAAATATTGATTGGAACTATCTGTTTCGGGTGTCAAAATATTGATTGGAACTATCTGTTCTTGGTGTCAAAATATTGATTGGAACTATCTGTTTCGGGTGTCAAAATATTGGTTGGGACTATTTATTCTTGATCTCCAAATATTGGTTAGGACTAATTGTTTTTACTACTACTTTTCTCGTCTGTTCAATATGTTTTCAAATTCCATACAAGAGTAAAGATTACTTCTTTAGAAAATGTCGACAGTAAATAAACAGCAGTTCTGGAATTGTTAACTCAGACTATATTTGATGACGAGGGAACCCAATTTTTAGAAAACATTTTAGCTTAAATAGTGAATAAATATTTTTTTTTTTTATAAATGTACAACGTTTCTACAAGATTATGTGGATTGCTGTCTTTCCTATCTTTAGAATATTGTCTAAAATAAGTACTATTTAACAACGTAATGCGATTTATAGAATAGGCATTTTCACTTGTAAGCATCTTTTATACTCATTGAGGCTCTGCAGCTAGCGAATAATTAATTAGATAGAGGTCGTATAGATTATATACTTTTAACTTACCTCACCCGAAGAGAGAGTGAGAAAAAAAAGAGTTGGTTCTAATGGCTATTGGAATGTATCGGATCGTATTATGATAAATTGGTTCGTTAATTTTGTTATTTTTTAGGTTCAAGAGAACAATCTTTTGTGTTCGCCTTGACTTCCGCTGCTGTTGGCCACACCATAGCACGAGCTTGCAGCGCGGGGTCTCTCCTCTCCTGTGGATGTGGACGCGTGTCGCGAGAGGCACCCAATGGAGATTTTAAGTGGGGAGGCTGTGCTGACAACCTACGTTACGGTCTTAAGTTCGCTCGTTCATTCTGTGATAAGCCTTGGAGGCAGAAGAAGCTGCTACAAGCGACAGAGGGGATCATGAACAGACATAACAACAAAGTGGGACGGAGGGTGAGTAAACCACAAGAACAAGTGTAAACAGTGAGAACAATAGAATTAGTTAACTCAAAAACCAACAACAAAAAACGTTTGATTGGAAGAGATCATAAAATAATCCTTTAAACAAAGAATAAAAATCTTTCAGTTTGAGGAAGAAATACCGTATAAACTCGTGTAATAGTCGACCCGTGATTTTTGACCAAAAAAATCTTAATTTTTCATATATCTCGTATAAATGTCGATCTAGTTTTTTACCAGAGCAATTTCTCACCCCAGAACAGGTCATACTTTATACCGAAAACCTGTGAAAACAAACGAAAACACTTAACTCTACCAACAGGGACTCGGTTAAGATAATATATCAGCTTTCATGTTTACCTTTTTTATAAATAAAATATTAGAATTAATATTTTATTTACTGTCTTTTGTATCAGTTGGGGTTTTGTTTCATGTTTTGAGGACTCTTACTGAGCATGCATTTCAACCTCTCGTGTAAAAGTCGACCCCTGAATTATAGCCTAAAAATGGCAACAAAAATTCGACTATTACACGACTATATATATACGGTAATATGAAAAACAAATAAAATTCTAAACATATCTAATACGGATATGAGATAAGTAGAATGCGCTACGTAACATTCAAAATATGCGTTAAATAAAATGTAAAGGAACAAAGTATAATATTTTAAATGTTTAACAGTAAGATGTAGTTGAACACAGTGTAATATTTTAAATATATGTAACAATAAGATGTAATGAAACACAGTATAATATTCTAACTGTTTTATTTTATGATACAATTTAAATTGGTAGTGAAATATACTAAAAGTTTTGTAAAAATAAGTCGTAAAATTTAAAACACTTGTTAAAAATTGCATATCCAAAAAACCAAAAAAAACAAGATACAGTTTTTTTAAGTTTGTTTAACACTAAGATAGGATAGAACACATGGTACCGTTCTAATTTTCTACAATAACAAGTCTAGGTAGAATACAGGATAAACAATGAAATGAATATAACAGTGAATGAAATATAGATTGAAATAATAGCTTCCAGGAAAACATCTGTAAAACAAGACACAATGATTTGATTTATTAGGCAGTTAACCATTTCTCTTTAAAGTGATTGGTTTATGTGACATTTGGAAAGTAAATTAAGTTAGGGGGAAAAATAGTTTTTCTTATCGTGTAACTTTATAAAAATAACATTGAAACAACCCCCAGTTTTTATAGTCATATGCAATAAAAGCCCTTGTAACAACGATTGTTGCTAACTGATTAGCTATCCTCCATTAAAAATTAGGCTGATCCAGCCGCTTAGCTCAGGTGCACATAAAGCATTGTTCAGGTTGAACATTCTATCTCTATCGGAATGATTGTAAAACGTCAGTTTTAGTCACTGTGAATTCTGAGTAGAAATAAGCTTAAGATCCTTGATTTTTATTATTCAGTTAGTTAACAGATTTGTAATTACATACTCAATGTTTATACAACTATTTGTGTTAACATTTTCGTTTTACTTTCTATACCTGCTACACAAATACAATGAAAAAGTTAAGGATGTAGACAATTCATGCTTCATTTTATACTGATCAGATCTTTTTTTTTTAATAGGTAATACGCATCAGCGTAATTACGCAGTGTAAGTGTCATGGTGTATCTGGTTCTTGTAATATCAAAACATGTTGGAAGGCTTTGCCTAAACTTTTAGAAGTTTCCGATTTTCTAAAAAGGAAATATTATATTGCCACTGAAGTAGACAGTCAGTGGAGAGGAAAGCGCCTAAAACTTATACCAGCTAACAGTCAAATGGGGATTTACGGAAAAGATGATCTCATCTTCGTCACCAAATCTCCAGATTATTGCCTACCTAATCCGAAAGTTGGATCTTTAGGCACTAGAGGGCGGTAAGTTGTTATTACAGTGCATTATACCTGTCGCTAGAGAACAAAGTTTAGCGTCGTACGAGATGATTATATAATCACTAAACTAATCACCAAAAGTATTTTGTACTAATTAGCACTTTCTTTTTCTGTTTTACAAATTACATTAGTGATATCGGATTCAAATAACTTTTGTTGCTGTGTTAGTGGTCCAAATCTGTTTGTGTATAAATTGACTTAGCATTTTTTCATAAGATAGTAATATCACTCAGTGTAGCTGAAAAAAAAAAAAACCTGTCTTTTTTATTTTTCTGTAACAGTAGGTGGGAGTGATTTCTGTTGGGTTTAAACAATAGGGGCGTAACTAGTCGTAAATGTGGGTTACGCATGGGGGAGGGTGTCAATGGAGCTCTTTTCATCTTGCTGGTGAAGTCCGAGGCCTTCCTTGAAAAAGTTTTGAAGTTTAAATCTGGAATGGCGCATTCTGATGACCTATTTTGCGTATGTATAATCTATAAAGACATAACCATAGAGACGACGTAAGGTATTGTAAGAATTTGCCTTTTAATCACTGTCATTTGTTTATTTATTTTTTGAGAAAACAATCAGATTAAACTTTTATATCAAAGAAAATTCGTATATTGAATTTTCAGTGTTACGCGCGAGCATATGTGCGCATGTTTAATTGCTCCCTTAGAAATCTTTGGTATGAATGATAAGTGGTAGATTTTTATTGGGCTTCTCAGCTGGATTTGTTCCAGATCACTAACCAGGAGAAATACTGTTGGGAGGGTGTTCGGGTGTCAACCTTCCTTTTCGGTAACTCTATTGTATATTTCTAAAAATAATACACAAATACGAAGAAGGCATACCGAAACGTCGTTCCACTTTTAAAAACAGGCAGGAGCAGCCCATTTAAGCCAGATTGCTAATATGCTAATAGTTTCGGATGTTTAATTGGTATTTCCCACAAGAGGGCATTGTCACATGCTCTATCGAGATTGATCAGTCTTACTGTTGTCTCTTTATCTTCTTGTAGCAAAATTAATTAAATTACTAATACCGATATGCTAAAAGTCTAAAAAACAACTTTCAACGTTGTCTCTATCACGTAATGATGAGAAAGTCTGTAGATTCACTTGATAAAGAACGCAGGAAACCTTGGGTGATAAAACATTCTTCCCATGCCATCTACTAAATTGTGGTTTTATGACTTTTTCTTAGCAATAAAACAATACACGGACATATCTTCACGTTTAGAGTGGACACATTTACCGCAGGCAGTATTTCAGGGTAGATCTTTGTTCTGAATATTGTTGCGTATCTTCTCGTTTGCTATTTTCTGGTATAAATTCTTTCAGAGGAACTTCAGTGATACAAGTCTTTTCTTATTTAAAACTAGTTTATCCTTTCTCGATACAATTTTGTAATACACAGAATTTCCACAGTCAC